AACTTATGTCTAAGACATGAGTTCACGGCCAAGATAGATTTCACGGCCCAAACTCCCTCTTGTTTGGCCGTGAACACCAATCCAAGGTGTTGGTGTTTCCTTTGCTATCCCGGTATTCTAGAAATCATTCCCTTTTATCCGTTCGTTTCAAGAATAAACCCTAAAAACACTCAAACAGACTTTTAAATTGGGTAACAATTATTAGAAATGTAATTGAATTTTAATTGAAGTGATTGACTTTAGAGTGTGTCCGAATGAAAATTTCGGGTTGTCACATCATGACTACAACAATTTGGGACAACTTAAAGTATTCAACCCTTAATCCTATAAGCCATCCATGTCAACTTCCCAGAGGACCTTCTTACTCCAAAAACATCCTAAACCTCAGTGCTTTATAGATATGTATGTCCAATGCATGTCTTGATCTCATATAAGGTTAAAATTATGAAAAATGGAACAATAATTACGTGAATGACTTCACAACTTAGCCAAACTTCAAATCCAACATATATAATGCCCAAGGGACCTTAAGGACCCATAAGGTTGCCAAATTTATGGAATCATTCCATACAAGCTTCCACAACATGAAGAAAAAGGGACAAGGAGCTTAGATCTAGAAACATGAAACATTAATATTGGATCTGGAACACTTACAACGGTCCAGAAATGGCTCAAAATGTAATTTTAAGCCTGCCAAGAGGTTCTCTATACCATAAGGGCTTCTCATTCCTTCCAAGTGCACCAAAACACCAAGGGTAAGCGCATAATTGAAGGGGAGGGTATTAGGGTTTGCTTCAAGGTTCATGAGGGTGATGGAGGCTGGAAATGAAGCCTTAAATATGATATTAGAGGCATAAATATAGAGGAAACTCTAAAAAATAATGGGCTTGGGTTGCAACTATAGTGACGTCATGACCATACCTTTGTTACATCATGACATCCATTGGCACGTCATGTCGTGACCCCTCTTTGGTCACGTCGTGACTTATGATTTTTCCCCAAAACCATGCCTTTGACTCCTTTAGGTCCTATACTGATCCATTCTGGGACACGGGTATTAAAACCCTTGCACTTCGGGGGCATCTTCTTTTGCAAAACCACTAAAATATTCTCCCTTACTTCTACCGTTTCATTACCTTTGAGTTTCTTTTTAGATGTGAAAAATCATTTTAATAACTTGGCATACTTAGGTGCCTCCATGATATTTTTAAGGAGTGGAATGGTGACTTCAACCTTTTGTAACATTTTCATGATCTCATATTCTTTTCGTTCCTTATTTATGCTAGACAATCTTCCAAAGGATGGAGAATCTGGGTGACTTTGACTTCGGTGGCGATGTGCTTCTTTTGGTTGGATTTGTCTTTCTTTTTCTCCTCTTTTCTTGCCTCTTTGAACACTTTTTTCTTTTCCTCTTATTCCCCACCTGGCATCTTTAGATCATCATAACTCTTTCAATCCCTTAGAGTAATAGCACACACTTACTGCCTCAGGTTCTTTTCAGTTTGAGCGAGTAGTTTACCTTGAGATGCTATCCTACTAACCGAAGTAGAAAGTTGTGAAATTAGTTGCTTCATATTTTTAGTGCTTACTTTAGTCTTTTATTGGAAGCTTTGGGTGCTAGTTTCCAAACTTTTCACTATCTCATCTATGGACATACTTGATGAACCCATTTATTGAGGTGAATGTTATGGGTGCCTTGGCTGAAAGTTTTATGGTGCAAAAGTTTTCTTTTATTGGTATTGAGGTAGTTTCATGGGTTTATAGCCCATATTTTTGTTATTATTCCACCATTGATTGACTCGGGTCTGATCGTAGTTCCTTTTATTTGGCCTAGTATAACCTCTCATTGTGTGTACTTCTTTTGCATCCTCATGTAGTTATAGACACACATCGGTTGGGTGACCGAGTTGAGTAAAAATACCACAAGCATCGGGTGTGGGTTAAACACCTTTGCCCTTTCCAAGAATCATGATCAACTTCATTAATCCATATAATTAGGCTTCAAGTTCTGGGCATTCACCTCTTTTACACCCCCACAATGCATCTTTATAACATTCTTCATTCTGAGTTGAGTGCTTGGAATCTTCCTCCATATTTATGATGAGATTTCAGATTTCAGTTGGGGTCTTATTGGATAAAGACCCTCCACTTTAGGCATTGAATACCCTCCTTTCCTATGGAGTCATTCTGTCAATAAGGTATTGAAGGAGCTGGTGTTCGGTGATTTCGTGCGTCAGGCAACGGGAAAAAACCTTCTTGAACCTTTACCAATATGTATGGAAGGTTTCCCTTTTATGATGATTGATCCCAATGATATCTCTTCTTAGTGTTGAAGATTTCATTTTTGGGAATTACTTATCCCACAATAATTATGCAAGATCTATCAATATGGTAACCGTCCCCGGTGGGAGGTCATAAAGCGAATCCTTTGTTGCAACTTACACCATGAAGGGGAATGTCCTAAGCTTGATTTAGTCCTCTATGGCATTATGTGGCTTCATCCTAAGACACACAACATGGAGCTCGGTGACGAACTTGTGGGGATCTTTATTTTTGAGTCCTTTAAAGGTGGGTAGAAGGTGTATTAGTCTATATTTTAGTTCAAGGTTGGTTGCATCTGGATAGGAGATGCAAAGAGGTTGTTGAGTTACCTCTTTCCTTGCCCACTGGCGGAGGGTTTTGTCGGGTAGATTTATGCATGTGTTGATTGGTGGAATTAGTGTTTCAGTAGGTGCAAGATCTTGGATATTATGATTTGGTGAGGTTAATAGGTTGATGTCTTTGGGTGAGGACAGATGAGGTGATGATAAGGGGGCTTCTATATCTAAATCACTTGAAAGAGGGACTTCCACCCAAATGTTGACCGTTTGGGTATAAATGAAGAAAAAGTCTGAGAATTTGGTTGCTTCTTTATCCTTATGAGTTTTTTTTTTCCGTTTACGTATCAATTGGCAAAACAGTAATTGTTTAAAAGGATCTTGGCATACATAATTAGTTACATCGTGTCCCTGACAATGCCATTTTGTTAGGGTGTCAAACCCATTAAATAAAAGGGGTACAATATACTCTAAAAACACTACTATATTGCACTAAAAAGTAGCACACGACAAGTTAAATCGGTCCATAGAGACAAAGGGCTAATATCTATTCCTCTTTGCGTAAGGTATTTTGGTCACAAATGGATCTTACTTTGCAATATGTTGAGTAATGTAAATAACATTATACTGTCACAACATCCAGAAAATGTAATAGTTTTGTAAACAATGAATTAAATAGTTCCAGCTCCAGTTCTCACTGTTGTCATTTAACTTGATTATGCCTTGATATGATTTATAATTACTATTCTAACTTGATATTGAAAGATGTTAACATGCTCTAATACTTCTTGCTTGCCAAGTTATCTAATCAAAGCATGCTCTTTAACTAAACAAAGACTTACTAATTCAACCAAAACATGCTCTTTAACTAAACAAAGACTTACTAATTCAACCAAAACATGTTATTCAATTGTATTGAAAAATCGCATTAAAAGTTATACAAGCTTCCCAACACAAATCAAATTCAATGATTCGAGTTAAAAGAACTCAATTGAAAGATTTTAGTTAAAACAAAAACATAATCACTAAAATAAAATCATAAACCAAACATCGAGTCATATGTTTCAAGTCAAATGATGTTTTGAACAAGAACTAGAAACTATGGTTTTAAGACATGACTAAAGCAAATCAAACAAAGTGAATAAATTGAAATATTTTAATGCTTACAAATCGAAATACCATGTGTTTTGCAATGATTAGAAACTTTGAAAAAAAAACCTGCAAAAATTGTCTACAATCGCCCTTAATTGCTCCAAAAACTATTCATATGAAAAATGAGTCAAATTCCTCTATGTAGCACATTTGGTAACTGCTATTGGGTAAAACTCGCGACCATGAGTTTTGGAAGTTAGAACATGAATTTTTAAGTTAAGCCACATTTTGAGGTTGACTGTGAGTTTTGAACTCACGACCATGAGTTTTCGTATGGACTAAGTTCGCAACATATTTGTCTTTCAGGGATGAAACATGCAAAGTTAAATCAAACGAAAGACGAGTTAATTTTTAAAAATAGGGACTTAACATATGTTTTGACATATAGACAAGGGACAATTGGTGTAATTTACTCTTGTTTCTAATTCTACTTACGTTTCATATCAGACTTGAACGTTGGACCTTAACTTCAGAGAAGACCATAATAAATCAACATCAATTTTTGATAGATGTCAATATTTCATAAGTTTTGACACTTGTCATTTTGTGATATTTTTAAAATAAATAATACCTACTTGTCAATTTAAGGACTTTTTTTTTATTTTTTAAATTAAAAAATTACATAATACTTTTATATATATATATATATATATATATATATATATATATATATATATATATATATATATATATATTAAATGCAATGAATGATGTAGTAGATTGCAAATTTTTTTTTTTTTTTTTAATTTTACTTTAAAAAATAATTAATGTTTACAAGTATTTTTTTTAATCAATACCTGCTGTGATACCATTAAACAAAAAATCCTTTAATTGATGCGAGATGGAATGACATGAGTAATTGACTTACCAAAAAGCAATAATAATTAGGGTTTCGAACCAAAAAAATGTAATAAGGATAGGGTTGAAATAGAAAAAATGAGGTTTAAGTAGTAATACCTTTATAAACCAAGGGACGAAACGGATAAGGGTTTTGATAATTGTTTTAACAAAGACTTTTTACGAATCACAAGGTTCGTGAATATGGTCAAAGCCTCTTAGAGAGTAGGTAGGTAAAAAAAAAAAAAACTTGTTAGAATATATTATATATCAGTCAACATTAGAAAGAAAATTGGCACTGAAGGGAATAGCTAAACACTCTGTTACACTTTCAGGTAATCTTCAAACTGTTGGTCACAAAGACCTGATACACATTTTTGTTTCTAATGCTTTCGTTGTGTAGGGCGTTAAGCAATGGAAGATATGAGCACAACATCTAGGGTGTTAGCTCCATCAGGCGATCCTAGTGCCATAAGCATGCGGCAGCAACCACCGCCACCAATTTATATAACTTATGGGCCATCACCAACTCCCCCACCACTACCACCACTAAGTTCTTCAGAATTGTTCATAAGAGCACCACCACCACTCAGTCATCCTTGTGAGGATCTACTTTCTGGTATGTTTTACTATGGATCTTTCTTGCAATATCTTTAATTGCATCTATATATGATTGTTAATTCAACAAAACAAGTTTACTCTCTTGATCTTATGTTGCATCGTTTGATTCAAAACCCATGGATAATAGATCATTGACTTTATGTTTGGAACTATATTTTGAAGGAAGAGAAGACTACATCAATACTTGCGTTCCTTTATACCAAGCGTCATTTAATGGAGATTGGGAAGCAGCAAAAATCATCCTTAATAAACGATTAGAGCTGGTACGATATAGCATCACACACAATTTTGACACTGCACTTCACATTGCAACAGCTGCCCAACACACCAAGTTCGTTGAAGCTCTTGTGGAATTAATGGAAGCAAAGGACTTGGAACTTCAAAATATTCATGGCAACACAGCTCTCTGCTTTGCTGCTTCAGCTGGAAACATGGAAATGATTAAAATTATGGTGAGTAAGAACAGGAGGCTACTGACCATCCCTGGTGCTCAAGGAATGATGCCACTGTACATGGCTGCATTAGTCGGAAACCATGACTCGGTGAATTATCTATATGATGATTCTGATAAAATGACCGGTGACTTTTGGGTGCATCGAAATCGGGTTTGGGTCTTAATAAAATGCATCGAGGCTGATCTTTTTGGTGAGTATTTTAGAAGGTAGCTTAGATGTTTCACGTATTTCATTTATGTCATGCATTTATAGATTTTTCCGTATCTTACCAACCAATCTGCGCGCCTCTTAAGTCTTACCTATCGCTCAATAAATAAATACTATTTGTTTTGCTTCCAAAGTCGTAGACTTGCAATTAAGTGAAAACAATCCCAAAGTTTGGCCCAATTAATTAAAAGGGCCTGACCCGTTTTCCTGTGCGCCGGTTAGAACTGTTGATCCACCGGAACGCGGCGTTTCTTGTGGAGAATTTATAATCTACTAGGTGTGACACTCGTTTATTACACGGGTTGATTAAAAAAAATTAAATACAACGATATAAAATATTAAACATTTTTAAAATAAAATTTTGAAATAAATACAATTACAATGATAAATAATTAAATACTTCCGATCAATACTAATAAAAAATAATTGACATATTTTAAAGAATTGCTTTGAATCACAACTTTCTAAAAACCAACTCCACCTTTTACGGAGACTGTCATTGATTATGTTTATTTTCAATGCAAAACATATTGTTAATGGATTATTTTCTTTGAAATGTGACAATAAGATATTCTTGGAATAAAAGTATGATTTTCTATATTATTTCCAAATAAATGAATGTTGATTATATAAATTAAAGTACTACACAGTTTTTTTGAAAGATGGAGATTTTAATAAAAATAAAATAATTTAAAATTTTGAGCAAACAAGAGTGCAATAGTACATATAAGTAAAAATACGTCTCCATAACAAAAGAACAAAAAACAAATTATATTACTCCCTTTATCCTGAAATTATTGTCTACACACAAAAAACATACAGATTAAAAAAAATATTAATTACCATAATAACTTTCATATAAAGACATTAATTGAATATCATATGGTTGGATACTTTCCTTTTATTTTTTAATTAAATATTTTATTTTTAACATAAGCTTTACATATTAATAATCTCATTACAACTTTCAAAATCATTAATCTCGTGAAAGCTTCCAAGATGAGTTATGTGTTTTTAATGCCAAAAAATGTTAATTAGTCATAGGATTTACGTTGAAGGGGGAGAAAGTAGAAAAAGACTAATTAATGTAGATAATATTTCTTGATTTATTGCCTAATTAATGTTGATATGAATTCCTGATTTAATGTTTAATTTTCCTTATTTACATGTGTAGTAAATGTTTTTAAAATGCAAAAAAACCACAAAATGCATAGAAAAAAAAATAAGAAAAAGCCAGTTGGCATATTGAATAAGAAGAAGACAAGTGGCAAAAACATTATTTATTACGATAGATGTTCTAGGGCACTTCTACATATGAGCTATCACAATCTTGAGCATATGATATTTACTGTTCATATTAAAATGTAAACCCAGGCACTTCTTGAGATCCTAAGATCTGATCAAGTTTCTTTTGGTGTTTCGGGATTTGGAGGTTTAAAAATGAATCCAACCATTCATTTGCAAGGGTTTTAACGTAAAAAATTTATGCTCTGTTTCGCAAATTTCTAGTTTATTTCTGTTGCTTTTGCTACAACATTTACCCCTATTAAGTGATTATAAAATCTTTTGTAGATATTGCACTAAAGATAGTAGTTGACCGGCCGGAAGTTGTTCCAAATGTGGGTGTACTTCTAGCTTTGGCTCAAAAGCGTCATGCCTTTGACGATATGAAACCAAATGTTTTTCAGGGAATTGTTAAATCAAGTGAGTATTATCTTCTCTAGATTTTCCTCCTACAAATAGTCTTCAAACATTAACAATCATGTTGAATGCATATATAATATATGGTTACATCTTTGATTAGTTTTCAATTTTTGGCTGTAGTTGATGTGAAGTTAGGAGTTACAGAAGCGAGAAGGGAAGCCATGAAGTTAGTAAGACTGATTTTGAAAAATATTATGAGAATGCGTAAGAAGTTTGTTGACGAGTTACTCAGAGGCCCTCATGACACAATGATGAAAAATGGAAAGGCAGTCCCGGATATGAAAGACGGAAAGCGGATGTACTCTTCCAGAATACTATTTGTTGCTGTAGAAATGGGAAACACTAATTTCGTGATCGAGCTCATTAGTCAATATCCTGAACTTATATGGGAGCTAAATGATAACAACCAAAGCATATTTCATGTTGCTGTCTCTCATCGTCAGGAGAGAATCTACAATTTATTATATGATATAGGCTCCATGAAGGATATGATAACTCGTCTCGAAGACCCTGAAGGAAATAATATGTTGCATTTGGTTGGGAAGAAGGCAGAGAAAAACCAACTTCAGAATGTCTCGGGAGTCGCTTTTCAAATGCAACGAGAATTATTGTGGTTCAAGGTAAATATGTTTCTACTAGCTTCTGTTCTGGGCTGCTTGCCATATTTCTTCCTTGAATTTTTATTTTCTTTCCGGTGTTGATGCATTTACATAACTTCCTTTTCAACAAAGCCATCTAAATATGTCACATATCTTGCATGACGAAGTTACACCATACAACAATGAAACCGGATTTTAGTACATGCAATGGAAAATTAGGGACTTGTGATGCTCTAAACTGCTTTTGTGTTTCATTGATCATACTTAAATTTGTAGGAAGCATGTTAACTCACATATATATTATAGAATGAGTTACATATATTTAGCAACGTTCGAAAAGGCATGGCTAGGTTGTATTAATATTTAATTACATTATATGTATTATATAAAATATATTAAATTTTTGGAAGCGTTGAATCAACAACAAATAACAAAAAGTTAACAAAAACTCAATGACTCCATAACCTATCAGAAAATGCAAGACAAAGAAGAAAAAACAGGCCTCGGATAGAAAAAACTTGTGGCTCGTCTTGCCGCGTGCCACGCCTAACGGTGCCGTCATGAAGGTTTCGGGACGGCAGAGTGACATCTCATGTCACGGCTCACCTTGACGCGCCTTTTAAAACCTTGATATTTAGTGACAGTTTGCGATCATTGTTTATAGTTCCTTTTAGAAAATAGTAGGTTGTTCACTTCCCTATTTTCTTAATAGTATCACTACTAGAAAATAGGCTTTTAATCACACGCATTGCATGTAATTAAAGTGTGCAACATGTGCATCATTAAAAGTCACAAATGAGAGACAAGTGAGTGTCATTAAAGTCCAAGTCATAAATGAAGATAACATGCATTTGTGTCTCATGTATTTATGACATACAATTTGTATGTCGTAAATTGTTTAGACATTCGTATGTCATGATTTTTGATAAATTAAAAAAAGTATATATTTTTTAAAATTTACTAATATTCAACTTACATTACACATATAAAGGATATATGCATACTTAGTTTCACATTATATATATATATATATATATATATATATATATATATATATATATATATATATATATATATATATATGTGTGTGTGTGTGTGTGTGTGTGTTAAATTGAGAATGATAAGTATTGTTTGAATATAAGAATGATTTTAGAACGTTAGACGGAAAGAATCAATGGTCTATTGAAAATTCAAATAATATTTGTTCAATAAATAAATCACTTTACTTTAGGAACGTTTTGATTCTCATTAAAATCGTTGATTCTTTCTCTAACGTTTCAAATTTGTTGTCGCATTCATATAATACTTATGATTTTGATATAAATCTAATATTATTTATATATATATATATATATATATATACACATACATACATACATACATACATACATACTAGCCTTATACATCTGTGTTAATCAGTTATTAGCATCTTCATTTTAGAATACATATATTACATGAAACATGGAACCAACAATAAATCATGAAGTAGAGGAGCAACACGTGTAACATCCCAAAATTCAAGATCAAAAATTTCATTTTTTATTAAGTAATTTATAAAACGGTAGTCTGAAAACATCAAGAGTGTCATCCAAATCATAATCAAACCCAAGTGTCAAAACAAGTCATAGGAAAATAATATCAAAGTAAAAATCCCAAGAATCTCATAATGCGGAAAATCACGGTGTGATGCGCTGCGATCATGCCAGCTCCTTTCCTTTCGAAGAAGAAGTACCTGAAATAAAAACTGAAAACCGTAAACATGAAGCTTAGTGAGTTCCTCCATCATACCACATACCATACAATAAGCGTATTTCCTAGCATATCCGGGTGATGGCCTACCACTTCGGTCTCTTTCGACCGGATACTACCGAGCATATCTAGGTGCTGGCCTACCCCTTCAGTTTCATTCAACCGGATACTATCGAGCATATCTAGTTGTTGGCCTACCCCTTCGGTCTATTTCAACCGGTTATGGGGTCTATTTCACCCCTTACCATATAATATCATAGCATACAAGTACATAAGTCACATACTGCCTAGCATATCTTGCTGCTGGTCTACCCCTTCAGTCTCTTTCAACCGGTTACGGGGTCTATTTCACCCATACCACTACCATATAATATCATAGAGTACAAGCACATAAAACACAACAGATAGTGGCATACCAGACAATTATCACAAAGACAATCATCTCTAGTATAAAAAACTACTAGTCGGCCGGTATTGGTGCCTTCGATCCACTCATTCCGAGAAGGTAACTCACCTCAACTATGTGTGCCGAAATCGTACTCCTCGGATGGCTCAGGACTCCTCTCCCTAAAGCATCATATGTCCCCTAGTTAGATATTAGGTCCATGTATGACCCCCGTATGGCAGAACTTCTAATTCATCTCCTAAGGCAATGTCCCATATTCCTTGCCCTAATGGGACTCTTCCCCCAAGGTCCAACCCATAAACAACTTATGGCCCAAATCCTTTCCTTTAAGCTTTAAGGCCCAGTAAGGCCCAAAAATGACCAATACCATAAATCCCAGCCCTACGCCCAAAGGCCTTACTCCACAGTGGGTCATGAGGCCCAACAAATTCAGGGCCAAATTCCTAAGGCCCAAAACACCTTAACCACTCTGCATGTATACACGCGACGTACCTAACATGTACGTCCGACATACGCTGGCCTTGGCCAGAAGCGGGAGGCGGACCCGGAACACGCAGCGTACTAGGGGTATACCCAACATTCCTGACAGTCACCCTAAAATCCTTTTTTTTGACTTAATCTATTAAGTCCCAACGTCCAGAACATAGATCTAGGCTCCTAACAACGTCCTTAACCATAAACTTATGAACTTTATGCTTTTGCATGCATGGATAGGGATTATGACACCCATTAAGTCCATAAGCTCACTTTGTGGCCATCTATCGCTTGCATGGTTGGGGCTAAACCATCAAGATCTGATTTTTATGGTTCTAAATGCTTTCAAGAGCTCAAAAGGACAACTCTTATGGACACATTCATCCAAAACTCAAAGGACCTCAAGTATGGGACCAAAATGTGACATAAAACACACCCCAAAACTACATCTAAGCATATAATGGTCAAGGATGGAGCTTGGTACCTCAAATGATTCAGAAAAGATGTCAAACTTCTGGATCTACAAGCTCTCTTCAAGTCCTTGCTCCTTCTTCAAGCTCCATGCTCTTCAAAACCACCAAAACAACACCAAAATGCTCAAAGTAAGCTCAAGATACATGCAATGCAGTTAGGGTTCGAGTTAGGCACTATGAGGACAAGGGAGGCTGAGAGGATAAGGGTTTGGAGGGTTGTAAGCTGCTTAAATAGGGTGCAAGCACTAAAATTTAGGGTTTACATCTGATCAACCTACGCCCAGCGTACACATGGGTACGCCCAACGTACACATGGGGACTCCCGACTCCGCGCCTCATATATGTACGCCATGCGTACACCATGTACGCCCAACGTACGCTCCGACCCTTAAACTCAATATAAACATAAGTATAACTTGAATAGGAAGCAACATAATACCAAGCAAATCCCGGACATTACAAGTCTCCCCCACTTAAATTAGACTTTGTCTTCGAGGTCTGTTGTTGCTGGAAAAAGCTCCGCGATGTGTTCCCTCATCTCGTCCTCTGGCTCACACGTCCATTTTGAGCCCTTTCAATGCTGACACTGCACCTTCACCAACTCTACCCTCTTTTTTCTCAGATCCTTCGTCTTCCTATCGAGAATGGCTACTGGGCTCTCGATGTAATTCAGGCGGTCATCCACCTAAATGTCCTCCAAAGGAACGACCGCGAAATCGTCGGCTATACATTTCCACAGCTGTGAAACATGAAAAGTGTTGTGGATCTTCCTAAGCTCCTCCGGAAGATCTAGCCGATACGTTACCTTGCCTACTCGGGCTATAACCCTGAAAGGTCCGATATACCTAGGGCCCAGCTTGCCCCGATTTCTGAGGCGGATGACACCTTCAGAAGGACCATATCCCCGATCTGGAACTCCAAGTCTGATCGAAGTCTGTCGGCATAGCTCTTCTGCCGACTCAAGCTGTCTGGAGCCTACTCCGGACTTACTGGATCATCTATGTCGTCTTGAGTACCACTTTGTTACTCCCCATGACCCTCTGACCAACCTCACCCCAACATATCGGGGTCCTGCACTTCCTCCCATAAAGCATCTCGAAGGGAGGCCGGTCGATATTGGCGTGGTAGCTATTGTTATAAGAAAACTCTGCCAAGGGGAGGTAGGTATCCCAGCTACCCCCGAAGTCTAACACACACGCCCGCAACATATCCTCCAAGGTATGGATGGTCCACTGGCTCTGACCATCCGTCTGTGGGTGGAAAGTCGTGCTGAAATGTAGACGAGTACCCAACTCGTCATGGAATTTCTTCCAGAATCTGGAAGTGAACCTTACATCTCTGTCAGAATCAAAAAAAGCGACACCCCGCGCCCAACTACCACCTCCCTGATGTAGATGTCAGCTACCTTCTCAGTTGATTTACTCTCCTGGATCGGGATAAAATACACACTCTTGGTTAATCGATCCACGATGACCCATATCAAATCAACTCCACGTGCAGTCCTGGGAAGCTTTATGATGAAATTTCCCATTTCCACATGGGAATCTCTAACAGCTGCATCTCGCCGTGAGGTCGTTGGCCTTGATTTTCTTGCAAGTCAAGCACTGCTCCACGAACCATGCTATATCCTGCTTCATGCAGAGCCACCAATAATCAGGCGAAGATCCAGATACATCTTCGTCGCCTGGGATGAATGGTGAATCTCGACTTGTAAGCCTCCTCCATGAGGACTTGGCACACACCACCCCAGTAAGGAACCTAGAAAGTACGATGCAGGGTCGACAATCCACATCTGTCATAATCGAATGAAGCCACCTAACCTATGATCCGCTCACACTTCCGGCACTCCTCTTTCATCTCCTCAACCTGAGCCTCCCGAATCCGTTCCAACAATGGGGTAATCACGGTCATTTGAATCATACATCCCTGATCGGAGACGCGACCGCCTTGCGGCTGACAGCATCAGCCACCACATTGGCCTCTCTCGGGTGGTAGACGAT